GAAGGTAAAAAATAAATTTGATCCAATTTTTCATTTTTTTCAAGAAGTCTAGAAAGTTATCAAATTTTTTTCATATATTGAATCCAAAGTTACCGTCTAGTAATTCAAGAATTCTCTAACTTTAATACGGTAAAAATGGATTTTTTCGATTTTAAGATCGAAAAAACTTCTTTTTACTTTTAACAGAATTTTCCCGTTTCAGATCACTCAACACCTTGTCGCCATCGTTCCAAGAAAACTAAAAACGATGTTTTTGGGATACCGAGTGATGTCGCTCTTGTAAAATATGTGGAGCAAAACGCTAGTGTAGAAGCTATCCGGCAAAGATATCACGTAAGTAGTCGTTTCGGTCCTGCACAGATAGCGACACGGAATGAGTAACTGTGGGAATTTTAACCGTTTTTTTTCTCAAAAATCCCGTTTCAGTCTGTCCATGAGATCCCATTCAACTCCATTCGACGCTGGCAACTAGTTGTTTGTAGATGTTTAGCTGATATTCCACCAGTAGAAAATTTGCCCGAACCGGAGCCGGTAAATTCTCTCAACATTCTCCCAAAACTTTACCTTTATCTCACCTATCTTCAGACAGAAACACGTTATGTTGTGATGGTAAAAGGTGCTCCCGAAGTCATCCTAGGCATGTGTAAAAGAGCCAGAGTTCAAAAAGAAATTATTGAGATTGATGAAAAATACCGAGAAGATTGCCAGGTGAACAAATGCTCACTTTAAGTTTGTTTTTTGCTTGCAAAAATCGCTGTTTCAGGCAGCATGGGAAGCTCTCGGAAACGCCGGACGAAGAGTCATTGCTTTTGCGCATGCTCATTTCAACGCTTCGATGAAAGCAAAGTTTGGTCCAAAGGAAGATCGTTGGCCCGAAGATTTGATATTCCTAGGAATGGCAGCTATTATGGATCCACCAAGGTCAGTCTTTAGCTACTCCTTGTCAGAAATTTGTGAAAAACGAAGTCATGTAAATGCTAATCAGGATCCTCATGCATCATTTTTCCCTCTGTTTTTTGTAGATATATCTTTTCTCTGAAATTCGAAAAAGAAAGGCGAAAAGCTGTTTGAACTGGGGTATGACAGACAAACATGATCATTTCCACTTTATTTCACGAATTGTTTACTTAGTTCATATAAGATTTTTGATATTCACAATTTTTCAGCTTTTCTCGAAATTTTATACGTATACTTGTTAGTCATGACTCTTCTATCGTACATCTACTGCAACTGATCCCCTTACTTCTTTCATATTTTCAATGTTTGGACAAAATGTTCTTGAATTTGTGTGCCGTGCTACTTTTACCAGACTACCATAACTGTTTTCCGCAGTTTTCACATTTTTCAAATTTTTGGGCCAAATGATAGTACCCTAAATTCACGCATACAAGGCGCGGGGGACTTTTTTTCTAAAATCGATAAGCCCAAACACGCCAAAGGGCTTTGCAACCAAAGGACCTTATACCGTGATGTATATTGCTTAGGAGAATCGTTAAGCATAAGGATCGCTTTCCGAAAAACATTAA